AGAGCTATGTAATATGGATACATATAATAATTCAACTACAGTTCAATACTAGATAAGAATATAACGTTTACGTTTTTACGATCAACGTAAGAAAATTAAATACTTCGGGTAAACGATAAAATGTTACGAAGTAATTTTAAAACGTAGCGCAGGTCGAATAAAAAAAAAAGTACGTGGACCGCCAGTGGCCCATCTTAGCTCTGCAGCGTATTTTTCACGATGAACACGAAACATTCACGCTGTATTTTCAAAAACGTCAAGTTTATACAAATGAAACAAAGAACCATCCTGTCTGGACTAGGGATGTAAAATTTACATACATTTATTTTTTTTATTTTTGGTAATTTACCAAGAAAAATGTACGTAAATTTACCGTAAATTTTCTAAATTTTGATAATGTCAAATATGTCAATAATAATGTCAATATGTCAACATAGAGTCACCCCTAGGAACTCCTTGCTTTTTTTTTTTCGTGAACTCTTAATTATTGTAACACTTATTTTTATTATTTACTGAATAGTAGGGTGTTTATTGTATTATAAATTTAATATACCAATAACTTTATATAAGTACTTAGTACCTAGTAGTGAATTATTGAATTTTGTATGTATTTTAAATTACTTAATACGCAAAAAGTATTAAGAATGTACTAATAAAATAAATTGCTCATTAATCAAATCCAATTCATTAGGTATCTAAAACATCAATAACAAAATGAATTCTAGTCTTTTAATTGTATTTGTCTTTTTCTTGTGTTATAAATAGTAAAAATTATAATATAATAATAAAAATAAAAACTAAAATAAAATAATAATAATAACTATAATAAAGTTAATAAGACAAGTATTTCAGAATTTTTAATTAAATTTACGTTACCATTTTGAGTACCTACTACATCATACTAAATGTAAATACATTATCATATAAAAAAATCAACCTAGTCTCGGTTGAAGTTTTATTATCCTTAAAGTCCTTATGCACATCATTAAGACGTTTAATTCGAGGTGTTACATACTATTTTTTTCGATAAAAAAATATTAACCAGCAAAAATAAATAATTGGTAAATTTACTCGGTAATTTACATGATCGGTAAACGTACGCAGTAATAATTTACTGAGCTTACATCTCTAGTACGGACGAGACCGCTGCCGCTTTCACTGCAGAATGTTGCGGTATCTGCAGGTCACACTGAGCGTTGGAGCAGCAATTCCCTAAGTGTGTTCCGCGGAACCTAAGGGTTCCGTGGTACAATCTCAAGGGTTCCACAAGGCAGTGGTGAAACCATGATTTTTTATGGGGGGGAGGGGTCCAAAAATAAAATTATTATAAAGTAGATAGCAAATTTAATTATTATTTTATTATTTGATAAATGTAAATATTGTAATTATAATGTAAAATTGAATGATAATTAAATGCATTATGTAAAATATAAAGGTATAACTTATGTACAAGTTAATAAAATGAAACTAAACAATGTTTTGTATAGTTTAAATGTTGTTTCACTTCCTCGGATGTTACTCTGATTTCGTAGTGAATATTGAAAGCAACTATTCCATCGAGTCTTCTTACTGATGAATTTCTCAAATCAATCTTCGAATCAATTATTCAATTTTGTCGAACATTTTTATTATTTTGGAAAGATACAGTTCAAGGGGGAGGGGTTGCAGACCCGGGGACACTCCTCCTGGTTGCGCCACTGCCGCAAGGTGTACATGAACATTGAGAACGGTAATTGTAGTAAATAATGATCATGAACCATCATTAAAACATTTTTTGGAGTATAGGTTTTACAGTAACAATAAACGAAAAATTGGGATCGAGTTGGGGTTCCATGAAACAAATAATATTTCCTAAGGTGGTGGTGGTTTGGGAACCGCTGCGTCAGAGGACCGGGCGGGCGGCGGATTCCATGCAATGTTAATGTCAGACCTTTTATCCCGGTGGAGTATCGTACATTTCCAAAGGGGTATGTCTTTGAAGTAAAATTATCGTTTTATGCTCAATTTATTAGTATTAGATAGATACCTATCTACGAATACTTAAATTCTTAAAAAAAAAACTAACTTTGATTAATTGTATAATTTCTAGGCTTAAGGACTTCTAGCTTTTGCATACTCTTTTTTAATTATTGTTAAATATAGCAGAGTGTGAAATAAATTCGTTTCTCGGTGCCATGATATCAGATCTAAAATTTAAATGTGCATATTTTTGCATATCTGATAGATTTTGCAGGAGAGTGCATATTTTAAAATTGTTATGCTTATTTTGCATATTTTGACAAATTTTTCAAATTTAAAATTAAAAACTATAGATACATATTTCAACCGATCGAAATAAAAATTAACTAAGAGGACTTATTACTTCCAGTTATATGCTATCTACAAAATACCTCTCATATCACGTTATAATTTGTATGGGAGTATAAATAATATTATAAACCCATATCGACCGTATAACCCGCTGGAAATGGATCGGATGTCGATAAAGATAATAGTCGATATAGAATAATAGATTATTTGTTTTGTGTTCAGTTCAGTCGATTATTACCCGTCGTTGTTTTTGCATCTCACAACCACACAACGTCGAATCATACGTCGTACGTGTATATTTTGTAACATTTTGTAATGTTGAAAGTACAACAATCTACGAGTGGCTAGACCCGGATTAACATTATCGTAGGCCCCAGGCCCCTAGTCCTTGCAGGGCCGTTGTCCAGTATTTAAATGGTTAAGAAGTCTTCTCTTTGTGGAAGTGTTGAATCTCATTCAGCGTTAAGCTTTTAAAAACAATAATATTTACAACATTAAAATCAAATCTAAACTTTTATATAACTATTGTACATTTTTATTCGATAAAAGGTTTAACAAATGTTTAAAAAAAATTCATTTTATTCCAAAACATATATAATATAAATTGTCAAAAACCATAAAAATTTTTTTTTATACCGATTCGTATATTACAAATAAATCGTAGCCCCACGTTTTAGTAGGTCCAAAAATGTTCGTAGGCCCTAGGCACAGTGCCTATAGTGCATATGCGCTAATACGGCCCTGCGAGTGTAGCCGACTACATAGTTTTGTTTCGGAGTTTAAAGATACATTTAAATCCGATGGACACGTTTTATTTTGTGTACTATGTGGTGATTTTTTTTTTTCTAATGGTCTTAGAAGCATATCTGTGTATTTTTAGAGCTATAAGTCCTTAAGCCTATACATTACTATACTATTAATACGAGGGTATTAAATACTCCATCATGCTAAATCATATATATATATTTAATATATTATTATTACAATTAAATGTAGTTTACGTGATAACGTCATAGATTTCGTCGGTGGAGGGGGGGGGTATACCCACTCCAACAACTCCCCCCCCGGAAATAAACACTGATCCCGTGTCTCGGGCGCGTATCGTTTCGCGAACGGTTATCCGATCTCGCAAAGGATTCCGTTCCGTTTTCGGGCACGCGCGCGGGCGACGTGGACACGTAACAACCGGTTACCCGTTCTCGCCATTTCCCCCCGGAGCGCATCCGGCTGGACGCGCACGGTCCGGCAACGGTAGTGGCAACAGTAGGCAGTAGTCGAGCCTTGGCGTTGCGGCCGTCGGTTCGTCAGCGGTAATAGTGTTTACAACCCACTCGCGGCGAAAACGGTCAACCGGTGCGCGCGCGTTTCGTTCGATGAATGGATAACGGCTTCGCAGTACGCGCAACGCGACCATGACCGACCGGAGCGTCGCGATCGCGTTTTTTTCTTTTTCTCTCCGACAAGGAATCGCGACAATGTTGCCGACAATGGTGTTTTTTTTTTTTTTTTTTTTTCGTTTTTTAATTTCGCCGATTTGTCGTCGTGTCCGCCGCGTTCGTTTCTCGCGGGTACGCATTTTTTTCCCATCGCGCTTCTCGTCGACGCGCGCGTTTTTCGAAAACTTAAAAAAATCGAAAGTGTTTTACGCGGCACTGGTCGCATCGATTTCGAGTGCGTTACGGACGGGCGAAGGTTTCATCAATCGTGTTGTATTTTATCGTGTCGGTCGGTGGGACTTTCGTTCGTTTGGATTGCTCTTGCTCACGTCGAGGATTTTTATTTTTTATTTTATTTTTTTTTTAATCGTACTATTATTTGTACTATATTATTATAATTATTATTATTATTATTGTTATTGTAATGTATAAATCATCGTTCGCATACGTATCATCGATGATCCGACCGGGAATCGTTTACCGCTGTTCAACTAACCTAACGGAAGGGTTTAGGCATTCAACCCCGCCCCGAAAAAGATTACCTGACCTAAAAATTTTTTTTTTAAGTTTTCCGCGATACTTGCAAATACAGTATATAATGAACAATAAAACATGTTATTTATTAACATAGATATTACATATTTTCAAAACCCTCCCAAAATATTTTCCTCCATTCACCCCTGCCACTGTTGTACACGTTCAAACACATACCGCTGAAGACGGATGTGTCCGTCTGTCACTCTCTCTCTCTCACACACAGACGCACTCTCTCTCCCTCTCACGCTCGCACACGCTCTCTCTTTCTCTCTCTCGCACCTCGAACAGATATACGCGCATACCCGGATGTGCTAAAACGTCGAAAGTCGTTTGGAAAAAGTTAAGTAACGTCGCGTGGACACGGATTATTGTAATTCATATTTACATCGGTCTTTGTTGTTGATATTTTTATTTTTTTTCATTCGACCCACTGAGATCGCCTAATCGCCTTTGTTGCGTGCTGTTCAATCTCTGACCTATACGGTTTTGTTTTGCACAAAAAACAACTAAAACAACGGTGTCAACGAATGGATTATACGCGATCGATGAACGAGATGCATTATAAATTTCAACTACAAACCCGAACCGCATTGGTTTTGACATTTGGGACAGGATGAAGAATGCTATTCGATGGGGTTTTTAATTTTTTGATTATTTTTTAATTTTTTGTAATTAATGGTTTTTATTTATTATTCACGTCGTTGATCACGTATTACACTCATTCAGAACTCATTGTAAATGTACACACTAAATCATTACAGTTTGTTTAAATAGTGCGTGTGCATCAACAATAATATCTAAATGTTGTTTTCACGAAACCGCGTACTTTGAATCTCTAGATTATAATATAAGTTCTATTACATCACGTTTTAACGTCTTCAAACAGGTATTTAATCCAATAATCATGGTCCGTTCTCGTTTTCTGTTATTGCACTGCGATTGTTATTCCGTACCGCTTTTACTGCAGCAAAACAAACACTTCGCGTACACAGAAACGTGCCGTTCGATTCGCGTCCGTCTACGGAGCAATAGCATCGAGTCCAGCGAATTAGCGATCAATAAACATGGATCGTTTTGTCCGTTTTATCGATGACGACGCGGTGTTTCAACGTCGTGTGCGTTTTAATGTAACGAGTTCGCACGTGTGGTGTCTGGACGATGCGGACGTTATCTGTTGTAAAGGAAGAAAAAAAATAAACGTGAAAACAAACGACCGAAACGCGTGTTGAACGCACGGCGTGGTGTATACATTTCGGTTTATCAGCCACCACCGGGCTTATCTAAAAGTCAATGTCCAAACACCGTTGCCTAGCCCACTCCCGCTCCACAACGTAAATCGGCTCGGCCTCATGAACAAACCGCGATATCGTAACGATTGTCCGACAAAAGCGATCGTAACAAAGTTAGCGCTTCGTTCGCTCTCCACGCCGATCGTATTCACGAGCATCTGTTCCGCGGTCGTTGACGTTCGCGTTCCGATCGTGAAATCGAAAACGTCCCGATCGCATAACTTTTGTCGTCCGGAGCGTTCGCAGGGCACGGCCGTCAAAACTACCGCGTCGTCATGGACCCGTCGCTGCGACTGATTACATACCTGGTGCCCAGCTTGCCCGTCGAGATGTTCGAGTGCGTCGCGCATTACCTGGAAGAGGCGCTGGACGTTAGGGCCACGCTGCAGTACGAGTCCAGAAACCCCGTCGACCTGTTCGACGCCCGCCCGGATCCGTTTCTCCTCAACGAGGCCGATTTAGGTAAGCCGCGTGGACCCGAACCTCAAGATAAGGGGGGGAAAGGATGATCCCTTCCGAGCCCGGAAATCAGGAGCTACAAATTATTAAAAACTAAACACAATTAATGATAACAATTTAATGAATACCGCAGTAAAAATTAAGATATACCCCCGGACCCGGGTTTCTCTATTACATAAATAGTGTTGAACTTTGCGTCCCTCTTGGAATTGCGCCCCGGGCCCATGCCCTCTCGCCCTTGACTAAATACGGTGCTGGTGCGAGAATCCGCATAACCATATCGAACGATATTACATAATCGGTGTCGCAGCCGCTGAATGTTTACTGGTTATCGGACGTTATGTTATCATTGTTAAATTATTGCGCCGTAATCGAATAACGCGATCGCGTTCGCACGGTAATGCGGTCGTTAGCCGTTCTCGCGTCGCGCTAACACGGTCCCCGGCCGTTTTCTGGCCACGTGACGTAGCTCAACCAGCCGAGAATTATGCGCGCGCATCTCATAGACGCGATTCCGTGCGCGCAACGGCAATAACGTCACAAGCAAAACCGACGTGTTCGATCGCGATAATACGTCTATCGCGTTTCTGCTAAACGATATGCGTATAAATTCGCACTCGAATTCGTCGCACCGTAAGCAGGGCCGTCCCGAAGGGGTGTCTTGAGGGAGGGTGTCTCACCCCCAACGAAAACACCAGTCGGCAGTCGGACTTGTTTCATTATAGCTTAGAAGGACCTAATTTTACTTACGGAAAACAAATATTACGTATTTCGTAATACAGTGACTACACGAATACAATTTATATAACTACTTATTATACAATATAAAATATTATATACTTATATAATTAAACTGTCAATTTTAAGAACGTGTGACTCTGACACATATATACACGTTAATAAGTAGAAATACGACTACATATGGTTAATTATACTACATGCATTTAGTAAAAAAAATTGGCATTTATTAATATTAATCACCCCCCTTGATTTTCATCTTAGGGACGGCCCTGACCGTAAGGCGTGTTGTTGTGGTTCTTCTCTCCGTCTCGCACCGTTAGAACGTACACACTATAAGACCAGAGTCGTGACTACAATTTTGAGGGCCTTCATCATCACTTTTAATCAGCTTATATGCCCAATAGGAATATAGAAAATTACACAAAAACAATATACTTAATTCACCTCACAATTCGGGTTTTAACGATCGTAAAACGTATATATACATATACATGACAATTGCGGAATCAGAGGACCTCAATAAAAATATTTTAAATCTTATAAGGCGGAGTCCGCGGTAGTTGCGGCACTATACAAGACCGTCGAACGCGCATTTGTTGTGCAACGTTTTCGATCAAATGTTCCGTGTGCTGACCGCGAAACACTGGTATTCGTTATCAACGGTACACCACGTGCACGGATCGGTGTCGAAAAGACATCTACGATGTTATGCCGATATTATCGACCATAATAGTAAACGCATACATAAGCAACGGACTCGCTTTGTTTTTTACGATGTTGGTGTGTACGATTGGGGTTAATTTTTTTATTTTTTTCCGGAGAACACCCTAATTATATTAATACCCTAACCCGTTCGGTTTCGATGTTTACACAAACGGCGGTTACGATATCGCCGGAATGTTCTCGTACGCGGATATTAGATTACAACAATTATCAATCGTTATCGTTATCATAGTAGGACGGTGTGCGTGCGCGTTAATTAGTCGTTAATTATATTATTCAAAACTGCGGCGCGGCGTTATGTACACGATCGTAATACAGTATGCGACGTTTCATTTATGTGTGCCAAACAGGTCGACAGGTTTCGCCGAGCGGTACACAAGATGGGCATACGGACAGACTAGGCTGACAGGTTTAGGTTAGGTGTGTACATATGTCCGTATACATAAATCGCCGTCCGATACGCTCCGTCGTAAACACTTGAAAACGTCGAGATCGGATTAAAATTTACTGAGAGGAACTTCGATACGAAACCGATACGTCGTTTGCGGACGGGCGAGGAAAGTTTGTACGGATTACGGTCGGGTAGAACACGATTGCGTACATTTGTCCATTTTGGCAACATTATTGCGTATGAAATTGTTTGCAATGTTGAACAATTTACAATTTCACCGTATTGTATAGAATAAATATAGAATGCATGTACTAATATAAACTAATATAATAATAGTTCGTAAAAAGAATTAACAATAAAATAATAAATATAATGAGGATAACTAAATAAACAAAAAGTAATTAATAAATAAATAAAATCGACAGTTTTTATTTGAATAAAATTATTGTTGATAAATTATTTGAAAATGCGTAAATCTGGATTTCCTGACATCTATATAACTTACTACTTTTACTGAAACTCGGAAAATACCGTATAATATTACGGAAATAACAAAATTTCGTTATATCTGATATATTTGATATCATTAACAATAAACATGGATAATAAAAGCGATAAAACACAAAATATTTATTAACTTTTTCAAGTTCTCTCGTATAGGCATGTGGTATACACCAATACCTGTATGAAAATTGGCATCAACGTTTAAAACTACGTACGCAATCCGTGTAGTTAAAAATCGGGTAAAATCGTACGGAATCGTGTAGGTTAAAAAAGTATCGCCGATAACGAACGTACGCAATCGTGTTTTGCCCTTACGGTCGTACGCGGAGACCAACATTAGTTTTCTTGCAAACCGTTCGTACGTTACATACGGTTCACCACCCAGACACGGACGAACGTCCTTATTTTTTTTCTTTTATATTTTATGTATACGTCCGAAACGGTTCGGTTGTTCATCCCACGCACAAAATGGTCCTGACCGAACCATATGCGCTTTATCAATCGGAGTTCTATCCACTTACAATTTAAACATTGTTTTTTTTCTAAATTGCACCGCGTACACATATATTCGTTTACCGTATCTTCCTTTTGACGGATTTCTCGTTTTAATATGATTTGTAATCGCATTTCTGTAATGTGCGAATAATGGCAAATTAAAAAAAAATAAATAAAATAAAAAATAATGAAATAAATATGATTATATTGATCTACAACTGTACGCGCAACAATAGACTTGGATCGCCATCACAAATGATTATTAAAATAACTTTATCAATTTTGTGTTCCTACTAGACAACTATTGGCATTCGATTTCTGAACCGTTTAAAATCTTAACCAACATGATTATAATGTCCTTACAGTTCTATAGTGATCTACGAAATGGAATTTTTTTCACGCAGTCTATGTTGTATCAATATAACATCTTGACGTCTTGTTATACGTTAGTATAACTAGTTCAAAAACTCGATAATATTTCCCTCTTTAACATCGAAAGTGTTTGACGTGTAAACTGTACAACATTTACAGTATAGTAATGACGATTCGCAGAAACCTTCAAAGAAATATTGTATAGAAAAATAATAATTTTACAAGAATAAATAATTTATTGTGATAGACATTGATTAGATTTAATTTTTTTTTTCTAATTTAGACATTAAAAAAATCTATGCGTAACAAATATTACTAAGTAGATGTCTAAAATTCGTATGATATTATAGCACTATCTACTTGGTCCTTATTGTATAATGTATGTAAATGTATGCATCAAATGCCTTGCATTCATCAGTCTGTGTACATTTTAACATCTCAATTTTACTATCGTCATCGCGGTTGTTGTTAAAATATAATTCAATAAGCCAAATAAATTTTGAATTCCATGTTTTCCCGTCTGTGAATTAAATGTGTTCGTTATTCCACGTTTTAAAAATGTACCGGCCATATTTAAAAAAAAAATTGAAGTCGTTTCTCTGCACCACAAAGTTTCGATAATTTTTTTGTATTTTAGTCCTAGTTTGACTGAAGCGTTTTATCATCATTTTTGTGTCCGGCGGCCATGGACTCCTTCTTGGTGAACGCCGTCGGCACCATCTCTTCGTCCTCTTCGTGCCTTTGCGGTACATACGTCAAAATCTGTTTTAGTCATTATCTGCAGTAAATTTCAAATGAAAACCACGTTGTTTCATGTTCAATCGTGTGGTATTTATCCTTCAACTGTTGAGTTAATAGTTTGGTTTTTTAGGCATGTCTATTAGCGGTCATTGCGAGTAATGTTTCGCTGCAGACACGTGAATTCATCTTCGTTGGTGACTGATGTGCTTTGACTATCGCACGTACCGAGAGCTGTGAATTTTGTTTTTATTTGTTTTGTACACTGCAGTGTGCCGTCATAGGCAATTGAAAAGTACAGAGGAAATTTGGTAGTAGTCTATTTCTGTAAATTATTCAGGGTAGCAAAACCTAAGTCGTCTTATCTTTCTTTACCAGTATACTTCATACTTTCCCTTTGATAATTGTAGACTGAAAGATTTTTTCACTATATTGATCTCAACAGTCAATACTTTTAATTTGCTATCGAATCAATCCGTAAAATAAAATTTGAAAAAATCGACTATTATCGTTTTTGCCCTGTACCTTTCAATTGTGAAAGTCACGGTGCCTGTGCGGTCACATGGGATTAAATCCGCCATCGAACACGATCACATGTAAGTATTGGTCGATCACATCTATTCTTATTGCGTAAAGGCCGACGGACATTGCGGTCGAAAGCAAATTATATCATTCGTTTCTTGCATTAATTGTTATTGTATGTGTAAAACTGCGTAGACAAATTATTTCATTTAATTTTATTATATTTATTACTTGCACGTGCCAAACAGGCAACGTATTTATATTTATATTTTACAGTCAACTATTTATTATTATTCATGCATTTTGTTTTATTTAAATTATACAGTCCACTTATTGCTTTAATTTCACTGTTTAATTATTATTATTTTGTACTCTTCCTTTTTATTAAACTGGCGAACAAGATGGCCTCCTACTAATGGTAGGCACTTGCCACGCCGACACTAGCAATCATGAAAAAGGAAATATTAAAAATATATCCTTCAATGTTTATAATTAATAAAGCCACTTAAGTTAAAAACAAATATATTTATAATTATAGCAAGCGAGTAGGTATAACAAAACTTAATGAGTTGATAAGAGGTACTTAAATATTCAACAATATTCAAACATTTCAACTTAAATTTTTGTTTTAAATTACACCGCGCAGTGGTGGCTTGTATTACGGTTTACAAGAGCATTTGAACCATCCAAAAAAATTATTAGATGGTAAACTGTAATCGGTTATTTTGCACATAGTCAGTAATTATTAAAAATATATGTTAAAAAAATACAGTTTTCGCAGCTTTTTGTATTGAGAAGTGTGTCTAATAACCATCCAATAACTAACGGAATACACGTCGGTTAGTACCTAATACATGGTCGTTTGGAGGGCATTAGATTTGTGCACCGGACTAATTTTTTTCGTTCGGCGTGTCGCGTCAACCGTGGAAATAAGATTTCGTGTTTATGTCTTATACATATTAAGTTATTTTTTTCCGATTTATCATAAAATAACGAATTATATGTTGGTAAGTATACCCGTACCTGTACAATAATTAATATTATTTTTACCCATCTACACACATAGGTATCTTACAAATTATTTCTACACTACTTTGTGTGAACCTCACGAGCCACCACTGACACCGCGGTAGTCGTTATAATTTATAATTTAATTCGTCTATACAAATAAAAAATAAAAAAACAAACATATCATTACAAAGCTTATCATCAGAAAATTATTTACATTATCGCTTATAATTATCTTTCTCAATAACTATTATTTCCATATTTTAAATAGTATGTATAAGTATAATATAATGTACGTATTTGTATTGTTACGAGTCAACAATTTGAAATACAAACAGATATTTAATACTATACACGTCCTTGACATATTTCAAATAAATTGGTTAGTAAAAATTATGACTCATTTAAATTTATAATTTTTTTGATATCCAGTCGAAAGATATATTTTTTTTGTTTTTTCGGGTTCGTAATAGGTAAAAAATAATAATTTTAGTCCGATAATAATTTTCAATAGATGTAACTAGCCGAACGATTTTGTAGCGTACCTACGCTTACTTTACGCGCACAAAGCTATCACGTCCAACAAATTGTAAATATTTATTTTTATTAATATTCATACAATTGATAACGTATGACCAATTATTGTTGGAACATTAAATACGTTGAAAAAAACATTGTTTTCTTTTGATATAAAGAGTCGCGATCTACTAACGGTAATAAATAATACATGTATTATGTACAATTTATTTTCGTGCGGGCAAACTTCTTAGGTACGTGAAATGCTTTGATACGGGTCACTCGTGGTACGAGAACTTCTGGAACACGTGAAACGGAATATTTACACGGGATTTTATTTTTCGCCGTCGTTACGTAATTGAAATGCACAACATTGTATAACCACGGCACGGTAAGCATAGCTGCTGCAGATGAACGATTACAATTATAGTCGTTTGCAACCGCGTATTCCGTTGGTTAGTCGAAACTGCTTCGCGATGCACCGGTGGCCGACGAGGTGTACACATGCGTTAGAAACAGTGATTTTCCTGTCGATTTTATTGGCAGTATACCCTGAGGTGGAACCAGAAATTTTTACGCCCGGGGAAAATGTTAAAATTACGCCGTACCGTAGACCAATAATCAAATACTCTTCTCGAGAATTTTTTTCCAATAATTAATATGTAATCATACTTATTGAGTTTTAACCTAATAACAGTATTCGACAAAGTTAAAAATATGAAATTTGTTTTTAATAATTACAAAAAATTACACCCTCTAAAATGTTACGACCGGGGATGAACACTCGTCTTTTATCCCCCCTAGTTTCGTCCCAGAGTAAACCACGCCGACGAATGTCTGAACATTGACATTTTTATGGTTCAAACAATGGTGGAAGTAAAGGGTTATAAAAATTAACAAACAACTGAAACGCGTACATTTTCATTTTTCACAGAAATGCGAATACAAATTATTCAAATAAATTTATATCGCCGTAAATACGTATACCGTACACCGTCAATAAATATATACTTCATACACGAATGTTCGAAGGAAAACTGAATACCTTACAAAATTAAATTACAAAATTACAAAATAAGGGCAAAATTAAAACCTGTAAAACTAATAACATTCAATACTTCTCCGCAGTGCTCGAGACTTAAAAAGTGAATTTTCAAAATAGTTTTAAGAGTATACGGCGTATGTGTAATATAATCCTATGGGAATATGGTTGACCATAACATTGAAATATGGTTATAAACTATAACACACCGTGTCATTGAGTCACTTTATGGTACACCGAATATCATGCGTCGTGCATATTGGTAAACATCAGTATCAGTTCGGTGTCCGTAGTATATGTCGATTTAGTAATTTTGTTGATGCGTGCGGTATTTTCGACTACTGACTTTGCCCTACATCACTGAATGACAAAATAATAAAAAAAAAAAAAAAATTAAAAAAAAGATTAAATAAGTATTTTAGATATTTTTTATAACAATTTATTTGAAAACGATAATTATTATGATAAAAATGTTAGTGCTCTGCTGATGAACAAATAATGCAAATCGTATTGTAATATGCGTTTTTTTTTATTATTTTCTTATCAACATCAAAATATTTCGGAAAGACATTTATCCTTCGACAAAGAATACCCCTCCCACCAGTAATGTATCAATGCAGGGCGCAGTGTTCACATGATATTATCATTTTAAATACCCATGTATTATTCTAAAATAAATGCTATACGTTTACGTGCGTGCGTTCTAGGTTTTATGAATCCGATGCAGTACTTGAAGATGAAAAAGTTGCCGGTCAAACAGTTCGAACTGATGCCGATATCGCCGGTGTTTGTGCATCCAAAGAACGCGGCCGAAAGACCGGGATACTATTCCGACATAATCATGCATAAGGACGTCGAGTTAGGACAAGCTACACAGCATATTAATTACTTTAATAACAACGCAACGATATTTCTATCGTGCGTAGTTTGACGAATTATTATTAATACACTTTTTTTCTCTTTTTTCCCGTCTTTGGTTCATCCCAGGAAAACCGTCAAGTCGTTTTTGGACCTGAGAGGCAGCAGCTGGGGATACACCGGAAACAACTCGCTCAGCAGCAGCCTGACGATACAGAAGTTACTGAGGTCTTTGGGCGAAAACTCGTCGTTTTTCGGCAACACAATAGGTAACCAAACATTCTGTTTTATTGCAGGATATCTCGTCAGCATGCCGCCCAGAATTATCTAATAACTGATCACGTATCGTATTAACAAATAATATAAACGTAAACATACTGATTTAAACTAATAAACAACTAATTTTTGTTCTCCGCGTGACCACTAATCCATTATGCTTCCTCTCGTTTCATTAAACTACTATTAATAATTTTTAAACTGAATTAAAATAAAAATAAAAAAAAAAAACCTATATTTTACTCAAGTTCAATTCACACCTCTGTTCTCTGTATATTAGGCGAACATTGCTTAAACGTACGACTATATTTTAATTATAATATGTTAATACAATGTACAATTATATATATCATTCTATTGAATGTGACCTTTAAGGTCGTTTTAGACATCCGACTGCTGACCGGCTGATGATCATATTTCAGTAGTTCTTTAATAAATACACACATATACACACACAAAACTCCCATATTATCCAAGAGTAATGATAGCAATATAAATCCGAGAAGAACAATTTTTCGAGCAACCTCAGTGGTCCTACACAATAATACGCCAATACCACGTTCCGTCCCATTATTTAACTTTCATCTAACTTCGAGATTAAATCAACACCCTGGAAACTCAGGAAGTATTAAAGTCGTGTGTATGACTATTATGATGTTCGAACCGGATCGAAAAACCATTGATTGCACTTTTTCACGATTTTCAACGATGAACTGTCCGACGTTGGATATTTATCGTTGATCTTATCTCGCGCACAACAAAAACACATCTATTTAATTGTGTACATAAGTACACGTGCGTAATGATTACAACGACGAAACAAAGTCGACAACAGTGCGAGAGACACGCTCAGCTAGACGAGTTTAACATCGAAATTTGTACTAAATTACGCGTCAAGAAATATCGTTCCGATAGTCACATAATATACAATTATGATTTACATATATTGTATGTTTACACACGGAGTAATTCGTTCAACGCGACAAACGTTTATACACCGGGCAACAGAATGTTCGGTACGTTAAGAATGGAATCGCACCATGTACGTATATTTTATTTCGAAAAGTAATTTTTAAATTACCATTTTTGGATTTTAATTTTAATTTTTTAAATTTAATGGATTTTCATGATTTTTATCGATTTGTCAATACATAATATTCAAACGCTTATATAATACATTTTCAAATAACAATTAAAAGAAAGTTTGTCGAAAATCTACATATTATAAATGTTGCCGTTTTTTTTCTTTATATAATTTTTCGACAATTTTTTGTAATTATTGAGAAGACTGTTAAATCTTTTATAAAATAACCCCTATAAAATTATTAACTAGATCATTTTTCCTATAAGATATTATACCTTACGATTGTGGAGATCGAAGTAATCCTTTTGATCGGAATTGTTTACACAGACAACAAAAAAAATAGTGGTGATTAAATAAAAGGCGATTATTAATAGTGAGAATTTGATCAAGTGAGGTTAGATTATTTTCTAATAAAGTATAAAATAGAATATACGGGATTTTTTCCACCCTCATTGAATGCACTTAAAGTATTATTAACTTTTATGTACAAACTCTATGCGTGTGTATTTCTAAAAATGCTTCAATATTTTGAGATGTAGCTACTGGTTTTTTTTTTTATAATATTGTACACAATATAAACTAGTACTTACGCAAAGTACCTATTCTTGTTCAGTAGTCTTGCGTAATTAACATAAAATAATACTAAAATTCAAGGCTGGGCAAGTTAACGATTTTTTTTAACTCGTTAAGTTATTTTATAATAATGAAATAAAGTTAAATTAAAAGTTACTTATATTTTTTTCGTTAACTCGTTAAGTTAAAAGTTAACTTTGAAAAAAAAAGTAATTTAACTTAGTTTAAAGTTAAAATTTTCTAATTTGCAAAAATAAATAATTGTTCACATAATATTAGTATTTTTACGCTCAAGAAAATGACTGAGGAAATTTAAAATGATAATAAAAGTATTAACTAGCTAATTAATAACTATTAATAACTAATTAATGAATAAAGAAATAATAAACTTTCACGGAAATATAATAAGCTAATAAAGTAATAAACCAATAACAATATATTATAAATTCTAACGAGATATGAACAGACCACATGCTAGTTGAATAATGAAATTAAATTGGAAATTATAGCACAGTTGTTTTGTAATTAATCCTCCATCAATACTCGCTCTCATGGTATTTACCATTTTCACAAAATATTCTTAGGATTTTCATGGGTTTATAGTGTTTATACAATAACAATGTTATAAAAATATATTAGTAAAATATAGACCATATAATGACTATTAAAGTTATTTGTCATATTATTTTCGTCTACAGGAAATTCATATAAAAATAGTAAATTATAAATATATTAAAAACCTCATTTAATAATTTGCATTATTTTTTGCACTAAAATTAACTTAATTTAGATATTTTTAAATAAAATTAACATACAGTTAACACGTTAATACTAAAAGAAAAGTAACTTATTAATTAATTTAATTTTAACTTTTAACTCGTTAATGCCCAGCCTTGCTAAAATGTACTCGATACATTTTACTTTTAATATAAATTAAAAACCAGTTTTTGTCCATTGTATCGTGGTGGTCGTGAGAATATATATATTGCAGAGTTTAAAATAAAAAAATTAATTTCAAAAGTTTTTCACCGTATTTTTTTATTTTTTTTATAGAAAGTTCGTTTCAATTGAAAATAGAAAGTACTTACCTACCACACAGCTGCTATGACAATGACAAACTAATTTATTAACATTATTCTTTCACTCGGCCGTATGCGATCTCACGTCTAAGCAACATACGCCATAAAATACTGCGATCACAGATTATTCGTCGTGGCCGAGTGTTGCGAATTAATATCTAAACCATAGGTGTACTTCAGTGGACTGTTCAAAACCCTTTTCGCGAATAGTTCGCAAACAACACGGAATCATGCGTAGTAAAATAAATCAATCGCGAGAATAGAACATTAAACACGTATATTGGTAATAATAATGTTCTGATTTATGAAAAAAAAATAAAAAATAAAAAAGTTAAGAGAAATAATAACAATAATGAAAATAATAAATAATAATTATACGTAACGAAAATCAAATTTTTTCATCTAGCCCAGTGCTTCCCAAATTCTTTCGACTCACAGCGCCCTTTTTGATCTAAGGTTTTTTCAGGGAGCCCTTCTCTAACTCATAGCATGACTAATTATAAGAAAAATGTTAGACCCGATTGTATTTCATGACGGCGCGACGCCCCTATACAGACATCGCGGCGCAACAGGGCGCCGCGGTGCACACTTTGGGAACCTATGATCTAGCCGATCGACTCGATTGATACATTTGTCCCCTTTCCGTCCGTAAAGGAACCGAAGAAAATATGTCTAATGTCACGTTAAACAGCTAAATGAAAAAACAACCGATGTAACCCAATCGACCGACGTCAGCGCGTACTCGCATTACACATATTTAGGTCATGCCGATATTGCAATGTTATTATTATTCGCGACGGCGTTCTTCGAAAACATTACATACAATTATAAACGACGACAACGTCTCTTCACGATAATTGCACGTCGGAGATAATCGGTACGTCGAAATCCATTGCGGCTTAGCAGTCTCGGCCGTAGCGTATTATCATTATATTCAACGTTTCTGTAAATGATTATAATACTAATATAATATTAGTGTATTATTATGCACTTGTAACATTTCGTAAATTGTTTTCCGTTTCGAATCACGGTCGTATGGCGAACGCGTTCCTATGCGACGACGTGCGTGCGACTTTGACTGTAACATGCTGCTGCTGTTGTCACGAAACCAGAAAATTCACAAAACCTAACGGAGATGATGTTAAATAACCGAAAGCCAAAATAAAACTTCGCACTAATAATCGATGAACATTAACGATATAGTTTAAACATAACTAATTTTCCGCTTGACTTTTTTCAATAACTTGCGCATAGAATTAACACCGGTCGATCGATAAAATTAGTTGACAGAATATTGTTTTCGTGACTTCAACATAACTTTTACTACATTACTAATCTTCACGACAAACAAGTTTGGTCGAAATTCCGACGAGTTTACTAGTTTTCTTAATTCACTATTTACACGAGCGCGTACGCACGCCAGTGTTCAATGGAAGAAACCTCGTATACGGTACAACCAGGGCCGTCCCTAAGGGATTTATTGGGGGGTGTCTCCCCCCCCAACAAAAACATCCGTCGAAAGTCGGACTTGTTTCATTACAGCCTAGAAAGTAGAAGAACCTAATTTTACATACGGAAAACAAATATTACCTATTTCGTAATACAGTGTATACACGAATAAAATTTACTACTTATTATACAATATAAAGTATTATTATATATATATATATATATATAATTAAATTGTTAATTATTAAAAATGTGCGACACTGAAACATATATACATGTTAAAAAGTAAAAATACGACTACATATAGTTAATTATACTACATACATTGAGTAAAAAAATTTTAGTCAGCATTTTTCATATTTCCCCCCCCTGCCTTGATTTTCATCTTCGGGACGGCCCTGGGCAACAATTCTTTGGAAACATTTTCGGTTTTGAATTTAAAACCAACCGTTGACCAATTACCAGTGCTTTGATCCGCAGTGGGACGATCTATATAATAGTGGTAGGCATATCCGGATTTAAAAAATCCGAATTATTCGGATTTGTTAAATCCGGATTTCACGGATTATCTGGAGTATCCGGATTATTCAACTCGATTTTGCTGTTTAATGACTCATTTTTATATACTAATAATATTTTAATACTTACTTTAACATTTTGTTAAATTTTCATTATAATAAAATAATTTATTTTACCATACATTAAAAATATTTGTAAGTCTGAAGTCTCATAAAAAGCAAATCCATCAATCCGGATAGTCCTGATAATTCGGAAAATCCGGATAAGAATTTGATTCAAATCCGGATTTGGATATCCGGATATTCGGATAATTCAGATATTCAGATTTCGTGCCCATCCCTACTATATATTGAGCTCAACACTATAGCGAATTCAATCTAACTCACGGTATATTTCGATGTATTAGATTTGAACGATACCCGTTCGGATAATCGGTTATTGTCATTTCTACCATCTTATTCAAAATGGTTGAAAAAATTACGACTGTTGCGGTAAAAAAAAAAAAAATGCGCGTGTGTTGTAGACACCGGGAATCATTTGCTGTCCGTGAGAAAGGTGCAGGACAAGCAGGTTACCGCCGCGGCCGTGGACTCGACGGCATTTTACAATTACAAAAACGTTTTGCACAGGGACGTGGATGACATTTGCGTGTTGGACAGCGTCGGACCATTGCCGCCGTATGCGATCGTCTGTAACAAGAAGCTATCCGGTAAGCGCAACACCACGTGTGTAAGACACCGATAATCAGGATCCTTTTTTATTTTTTTCCATTTCGAACTGCGAGATCGCGATCCGTACGGTTGTCGAACTTGACCAATACGTTTTCGCGCACTCGTTCCGCGTATGATTTACGTAAACGCTGTTCTGTCTACCGATCGTCTGTTCGAATCGAATTCGTCGTCCGTCTTCAACGATATCGTCTATCGGTCGACGAAAACTTCGCAAACTCCCTTTACGCGTACTAGTTCCTTGTCGGGTCGAACGTCGTAAGTATACTTCGAATTCGACCCATCCACCCATCCTTACACGAATCTCGCTGTGCTTTTGATACCCGGAACCTTTTGAACTTCTTCCTGTTCAGTCCGGGGTGGTACCGAATTAGTTCCCGAGCTCCAAACTCACATGCTGAATTGGTTCCCATCTGAAAAAGGTATTTTATTAGGTATAGCCGAATTGGTTCCCGTTTAATTACGCACATTTTCCTACTCAATCTCACAGGCTTAGGACTGTCAACTATATAGTAGGCGTGGGCTTGGCGCTAATGTGTGTTAAAAAAAAAAACGATAAAATATCTATAATTTTAAATCGTTGATGTCGAAGTCAACTTGTCATCACTTTAAATACAAATAATAAAATATAATAAATACAATTTTACAATTTTCTTTCCTTTTCGTGGTTATGTGTTAAAACTGATTCACATAAACAATCTTTATTCAATTTTACGTAAGCTTTACATTTTCGCTTTGTACATATCCACCTCTGTATGTTATCTGCAAGGTTCTTTTAGAACCCAAACTTGTAACGGTCAATAATCAATAACTTAGTTCCCTTTTCACTGAACATAAAGTCCATAATAACGAAAAATTAAAATATGATATATAATTTTATATAGGTTATATTATAGACACCAGTATAAATGACGATGCGTAATTCAAGACTGTACAGTGCTCACGAACATTATCGTTATACGTACATAGGATATATACAATTCACTATACAGCGATATAAGTACGTACGAGTATATCTCAATCGTTATCGATAATTTGCTAGTCTCTAGTAATCAATAATGTATTGTATTTCTATATTTTATCTTATCGATACAATAATTGTATCTATATGTCATTCAAATAGCTTTTAAAATTTTGTTTTTTCTCTCTACGTATTGACCCGCTAGATTTTAATTTTTAATAGTTTAGGTTAATTGTGTTAAAAATTAAAATTGTCACTATTTTACCTGTACACAAACGGGAACCAATTCGGCCAAATGGGAACGTTCGGCTACTCCCTCCGTCCGACCGTCGACGCGATAAAAATAAAAAAAATATCAAAATCGTAGTGTTCACGCGTTTCCTGTACTGCATTCCGTTTCACCATCTTGTTTGTGTGCGCACAGGTGAGCTCAAGTCGAGAATTGTCGAGGCCTTGTCGGACGCCACGTCGAAACGCAAATGGGGAAAGCGTTTCGAGAAATTCGGTCTGATCGGGTTCGCGGACAACTCAGACGACGCGTACCTGGAATACAACCAATCTAGCAGCCAAAAAGGATTGTCCGCCATTTATTATTAAACGCGAAGCCGTTATTTTATCCTCTCCATCTAGAGTCCATTTTAACAATACATAATTTAACACGAGTTGTATAATATTTCCTTTTTTTTTTTTTTATATATATATATATATTCTATTTTGTTAATACATATTACAACCACCAATCGAATTGCTATTGCTTGTACTTATTATCTGTTTCACGTAAATATAAGTATTTCATACACTACCGAAATCGTATTTGGATTTCAAATCGACGTAGTTTTGATCGTTCACATTTGGTTTTTCAATAAAACCAGTTTTACATATTGTCGAACGGTTATGATTTTTAAATAATATACTGCAATCATATATTTGTCCCATCTGTATTGGTTTTATCGATTCGCCCCGAAAAGTTGTTTTTACGATAAACAACGATCGTTGGCCACAATTCGATGATTCTGGAATTTATATTGGTCCGGAGTTAGGTTCAGTCAACACAAGAAAGTTAAGTCATATGTCCAACGTTAAATAACAATATGACTAATATGATTCTTTATGTTTAAAGTTAATACCGAGAAAAATATTGTTCTACTTAGTCATGAAGAAGTTAATTCATTTTTTAATTAGCGTTTCTGCAGCCACTTAGATAACATACAAAATAATTGTACCCATTTTAATTTATTTACCGTTTTATGAAACATTCGTCATAATTATACTCCCCGAAGTAATGTACACGTATTCATCGCTTGGTCCAATTCAAAGATGGAAAATAAAATAGTATTTTAATTTTTAGTTTGCTGATTATTTTCGAACTAATTGAAAAAAAGATAACCAACTATAAGTCATGTGATACAATGATTATTAAAACCAGTTATTAATGATATATTAGTAAAATCTAAAAAAAAAAAAAAAATAATAGCTTTTTCATTCTGTTTAACTTTTTTACTAGTTCATGTCCGTCATCGGTCAACTTATTATTTGTTATTAAAACCTACAGTCAATCGAACGATTTCAGTTTTGCGCCGTAACATCTGTAGTTATTATAATAAGTGAAAATACAACTATCCACTAATTGCCTACTTACGGTTGTTTTTTTCAGGCCGCGTTATTTTACATAATTATATGAAAATTATTTGACCGATGTTGCAGTACCTACATGCGAACGTTCGTTTTGTATTTTAAAGGGAATTTCGAAATTCTAGAATTAATAACTAACTAGACGTCTAAATATAATTTATTTACCTAAAATTACCCATTTTTCAACGATAAAATAGTGTCTTAATCGAATTAAATAAACACGAACAAACGGGGTGAAAGTGACGTTTCGGTAAATAACCACTAGATAGCACAACAAGGAACAAACTACAATAAAAACAGTTGAAACTTAATAGCCGTAGAGAGAGACCTTTGATCCTTTCAGTATTGTTATATTATACATTCTTACCATTGTGGAAGACGGAATCATGGTAATTTGAGCACATATATTAATTAGAACAAATTGAATGTATTTACAATTAATTTCATTAAAAGCATAATATAGTGGGAGGAGAGTACACCATGAACATTTAATGAGACTGTTAAACTGAGTTTTAATTAATAACTAAATTGTATTATTATAATTATTGCAGTCCGAATGCAAATAAAAATGTTTCCTCAGTCAAAATAAAAAAATAAATTATATAAATTTTAATTAATTTTAATATGAACCTATATATTGTGTATTTAAAAATACATTGTATTATATGCACACAGAGGTGAGTTTAGGTAGTTACAGGTAAATTCGAAATTTTAATTAAATCTTATTGTTGAATTTTAATTACTGTACGATATCATTGTACGCATGTGTTTTTAAACACTCTTGAGGAATCTGAAAATTTGAACAGTTATTCTAATAAGACGAATACATTGTTTAAAAAAACAGAACAACATATAACTGGAAAGTTGTTATTTGGGGTTGTACCAGAAAATCTGATTTTTATTTACGGTTCACGTAATTATACTATTATTAAACCGGTGTATTATAAAGAATTATTATTATGTCGCGGCAGACGTTTTGATGAACACAAAACGTCAATAATCCGCCGACGAAAAATTATTAATAATAATGATACGAAATGTATTATAATGATTTCATTAGTAATATTGTATTTTGATCAAATACTAAACAGAAAAATAGATTTAACCACCAGCCAGTACATATCGCGTGCAATGATAATAGAAATAAATATATAGTTCTTGATCTGAACAGGTTAATGAAAACCGTTTGTTTTTTACCGTGAATTATTAACGACCGGATAGATTACAACAGTAGTGGTACCCGGGGTATTAATAACATCATGGGCCATCATTATGTTGCTCGTAGCGCATTTGTCATCAACATTTTAAACTTTTGTAATGGATAAAAAGATGAAAAATAACTTATTCGTTGTCGGACGTTTCATTATTTACTCGCAGCAGCGAGAGAAAAACAAACGAATGGTTTCGACTATACAAATTTAGCTCAATCCGACTTAACGATTTTTGTTTTTACGGCAACGAACGCAAACAAAAGTGGTCCTCGTAGTTTTTATGATAACACTGAGAGTTTTCCTCCTACGATAACGTTAACCCGATTTCATTTTAACTGCGCCAGGAATGCTATGGAACTTAAAGCATTGCAAAATACGTCAACGTGATGTAACATTAGGATAAATTGATAAACGAAAGTTTGTAAGTAAATATAGTGTAATACATTTTTCAAATGACTACTATTGTCGGCGTGAACAAATGAACTCAACAACCATAATCGCTCGCACTTTGTCTGAAGTTTGTGATTCATTGGAAAAAAAACAACAAACACGCGACGGGTCTTATGTCTTTTCGCAAACAAACCCCAACAGATTTTTTCATTCATTTCTGTTGTGTGAGTGTACTTTGCAGGTGGTCGCGATTATCTACTATGATTTTTTTATCGAAGAAAATAAATAAAATAAACGTTGCAATATGATTGCGCCTGTTATACATTTTACATAACAAAAAAAAAAAAAAAGGTAATATGATTGTGCTCAAAAATATTATACAATTCCGCCCGTTTTACTTTTTACCGGCAAAAAACGCAAACGTTGTCCTTTAAAATTTTACGAAAATGCCAACAAATTGGTTATGTTAGAAATAAAAACAAAAAATTACTAATTACATATTTTTTCAAACGCTTTTAAAAATAGTTATGTAACCGTTCGCCACGCATCTTTTGAAACTTTAGTTGATTTCGACGTCAGCATACAGTATATTAAAGGAATATAAACACATTTTTGTAGCGTATGTATTATAAAAAGTTAATCATTGTATTTTAGCGAATTAAAAAAGATGTGGTTTCAGAAAAAAATATGAGTTGAACGACTGAACTCATCGAGAAAAATTTGACAAGCGAATAGAACTATACTTGAAATTTATTACATTTTCAGTTGACTCGGCAATTCGCCATTTGTCTAATGATAATATTTTTCGAAATTATATTATGTTCATTCAACAGTTTTTGTCACATAACTGTCAACATGCACGCTTGACTGACAATTTGTGTCGTTACACCGATATCAGATAATGCCAAAGTGTTTAAGTACATACATTCCCTGTATTTTTGATCCTATAATATATATGTATTTGCATTTATTAATCTCATTTTTTTTTTTTTTAGTATATTGATCCATTTTTTAAAATTTGTTATTTTCACGACGGTATGCTTAACGAAGCGCAGCGATTTAGGGCTAATGTAAATCTAAATAAACGTTTGGGTGTTAATGATCGTTATTATTTGGATTAATATGGGTTATTACGGGTGTTCAAGTACATTTTGTAAAATCAATAGTTGCAACAATTTGATATCTCAATTTTGCATAATAAAACATACATAACAGGAGATTCTGAAGATTGATCATTTTATCATGAATTTTAATTTAAATAGTCTTTCTTTTACAGTTTTATGAAGTTTAAATCTATATAAATATTAATATAAAAATATATACTTACAAATCGTATGATGAATTAATAAGAACAGCAATAACAATTATTGACAATTATTAAATAATTACTTATCAGCACTACAATAGTCATTAAACAAATAACTATAATCAAAAAACAATCCGAGATGGTGAGATACAATTCACCGCTTACCAAGTAGACGAATATGAGGTGACTAAAATAATATTTCAAATAGGCAGGCCATAGGTGCGTAGAGCCATAAAGATAAAAATAAAATATAAATTTCCGGGGAAAATGGTGAATAGTTAATAAGCCACGAATTACAATATTTATTACTTAATTATAATTAAATCGCTTGGAAAGTTGGTTGGAAAATAATACTAGATATTATTTATAGCCTATAGGAATTGATTATTACTTATTATTAGTAGTATTTGGTCACGAATATCAAGACTACCACGTCTATATTTTACATTGCTGTTGGCTATATTGGGATTTATTTTAAATTCTAATGAAGTTATAAATTATATTATATTTATATTTTAAAAAATGATTTATATAGTATTGTTTGGTTTATTCAGAATCATTTAATGATTTTATCAGATTTCATTTTCAAGAAAATGTTTATGGAATTTACCTATTATTAATTGTAAAATGTTTCTCGAACCAACCGCATGAAATACATACGAAATGATATATCAGATGAAGGTTGTAAAAAATCAAAAAATTATTCAGATTGCGGGTTAACCAGAATGTTTTATTTGCGTTTTGGTTGATTCGGGTGTTTAAATTTTTTAATGATTTTTAGGGGTGTTACGGGTTCGGGTTGATTCGGGTTAACCCTGCAGTGAATACTGCGTTAATATTTTGTACGAAAATGTCAACACGTGTCACGAAAACCAACATATCAACTGTAGCCGAACGATTGATAGTAAAAAAATACAACCACGACATCGCATACTGATATTTATAGATAATGTAAATTAACAATAAGACACTTATCTCGATTATTCGAGTACATTTAATAATTACGTTATGATTAATAACAAATACCCGGTTATTAGGTACCTATGTACTTATATCAGTGGTTTCCAAACATATTACCCTTTGTTTCACTTTTTTGTATCAATTTTAATCACGGTGCCGTGCAGAAAAATATCA